CTCGGGATGGAACTACTTCTCGGGATGGAACTACTTCTCGGGATGGAACTACTTCTCGGGATGGAACTACTTCTCGGGATGGAACTACTTCTCGGGATGGAACTACTTCTCGGGATGGAACTACTTCCCGGGAAATTTTGTGTTCGCTAAATTTTGTGCGGGAACCCGAGATCCGGGGGTAGAAACCCTAACTACGCCACTTCCGGTCAACACCAGTACAGCGATGTGTAGAAAAAAACTGCCCACTTCAGTTTTACAATTTTAATACCTGAAACTTGTTACCTTGACCGCTATGCCCAAGAGCTAATGTTATGATCACATGTCTACGTGATCAAGAGGAGGAGGATTGTTCTTAGTACTTATAGTTGTTCCTTTAAAATATAGATATATACTTTTTTTCTCAATTTTTTCTTTTCATCTAGTCAACAACACAATGAATAGTCGATTACAAATGATCACGGTCTCTAGGTTAACCCAATCAGAGTTGACTCTAAACACAACTAGTTTAACCTAATCATTGTTGACTCAAACACAACTAGTTTAACCTAATCTTAGTTGACTCTAAACACAACTATCTTAACCTAATCTTAGTTGACTCTAAACACAACAACTATCTTAACCTAATCATAGTTGACTCTAAACACATCAACTATCTTAACCTAATGATAGCTGACTCCAAACACAACAACTATCTTAACCTAATCTTAGTTGACTCCAAACACAACAACTATCTTAACCTAATCTTAGTTGACTCAAAGAAATAAGGGTGACTGAATGTTAAAGAAATGAGGGTGACTGAACGTTACAAAGAAATGAGGGTGACTGAATGTTACAAAGAAATGAGGGTGACTGAATGTTACAAAGAAATGAGGGTGACTGAATGTTACAAAGAAATGAGGGTGACTGAACGTTACAAAGAAATGAGGGTGACTGAATGTTACAAAGAAATGAGGGTGACCGAACGTTACAAAGAAATGAGGGTGACTGAACGTTACAAAGAAATGAGGGTGACTGAATGTTACAAAGAAATGAGAGTGACTGAATGTTACAAAGAAATGAGGGTGACCGAACATTACAAAGAAATGAGGGTGACTGAACGTTACAAAGAAATGAGGGTGACTGAATGTTACAAAGAAATGAGGATGACTGAACATTACAGAAATTAGGGTGACTGAACGTTAAAAAGAAATGAGGGTGACTGAATGTTACAAAGAAATGAGGGTGACTGAACGTTACAAAGAAATGAGGGTGACTGAACTTACAAAGAAATGAGGGGGACTGAACGTTACAAAGAAATGAGGGTGACTGAACGATACAACGAAATGATGGTGACTGAAAGTTACAAAAAACTGAGGGTGACTGAAAGTTACAAAGAAATGAGGGTGACTGAACATTACAAAGAAATGAGGGTGACTGAACATTACAAAGAAATGAGAGTGACTGAACGTTACAAAGAAATGAGGGTGACTGAACGTTACAAAGAAATGAGGGTGACTGAATGTTACAAAGAAATGAGGGTGACTGAAAGTTAAAGAAATGAGAGTGATGGAATGTTACAAAGAAATGAGAGTGACTGAAAGTTAAAAAATGAGAGCGACTGAATGTTACAAAGAAATGAGAGTGACTGAATGTTACAAAGAAATGAGGGTGACTGAATGTTACAAAGAAATGATGGTGACTGAATGTTACAAAGAAATGAGGGTGACTGAATGTTAAAAAGAAATGAGGGTGACTGAAAGTTAAAGAAATTAGAGTGACTGAATGTTACAAAGAAATGAGGGTGACTGAAAGTTAAAGAAATGAGAATGACTAAATGTTACAAAGAAATGAGAGTGACTGAATGTTACAAAGAAATGAGGGTGACTGAACGTTACAAAGAAATGAGGGTGACTGAATGTTACAAAGAAATGAGGATGACTGAATGTTACAAAGAAATGAGGGTGACTGAATGTTACAAAGAAATGAGAGTGACTGAATGTTACAAAGAAACGAGAGTGACTGAATGTTACAAAGAAATGAGTGTGACTGAATGTTACAAAGAAATGAGGGTGACTGAAAGTTAAAGAAATGAGAGTGACTGAATGTTACAAAGAAATGAGAGTGACTGAGAGTTAAAGAAATGGAAAGTTACAAAGAAATGAGGGTGACTGAATGTTACAAAGAAATGAGGATGACTGAATGTTACAAAGAAATGAGGGTGACTGAATGTTACAAAGAAATGAGGGTGACTGAACGTTACAAAGAAATGAGGGTGACTGAAAGTTACAAAGAAATGAGGGTGACTGAAAGTTACAAAGAAATGAGGGTGACTGAACATTACAAAGAAATGAGGGTGACTGAACATTACAAAGAAATGAGAGTGACTGAACGTTACAAAGAAATGAGGGTAACTGAACGTTACAAAGAAATGAGGGTGACTGAATGTTACAAAGAAATGAGGGTGACTGAATGTTACAAAGAAATGAGGGTGACTGAAAGTTAAAGAAATGAGAGTGACGGAATGTTACAAAGAAATGAGATTGACTGAACGTTACAAAGAAATGATGGTGACTGAACGTTACAAAGAAATGAGGGTGACTGAACGTTACAAAGAAATGAGAGTGACTGAATGTTACAAAGAAATGAGAGTGACTGAATGTTACAAAGAAATGAGAGTGACTGAATGTTACAAAGAAATGAGAGTGACTGAATGTTACAAAGAAATGAGGGTGACTGAACGTTACAAAGAAATGAGGGTGACTGAACGATACAAAGAAATGAGGGTAACTGAACGTTACAAAGAAATGAGGGTGACTGAATGTTACAAAGAAACGAGAGTGACTGAATGTTACAAAGAAATGAGTGTGACTGAATGTTACAAAGAAATGAGGGTGACTGAACGTTACAAAGAAATGAGGGTGACTGAACGTTACAAAGAAATGAGGGTGACTGAAAGTTAAAGAAATGAGAGTGACGGAATGTTACAAAGAAATGAGAGTGACTGAACGTTACAAAGAAATGAGGGTGACTGAATGTTACAAAGAAATGAGGGTGACTGAATGTTACAAAGAAATGAGGGTGACTGAATGTTACAAAGAAATGAGGGTAACTGAACGTTACAAAGAAATGGTGTTGACTGAATGTTACAAAGAAATGAGGGTGACTGAACGTTACAAAGAAATGAGGGTGACTGAAAGTTACAAAGAAATGAGGGTGACTGAAAGTTACAAAGAAATGAGGGTGACTGAACGTTACAAAGAAATGAGGGTGACTGAACGTTACAAAGAAATGAGAGTTACTGAACGTTACAAAGAAATGAGAGTTACTGAACGTTACAAAGAAATGAGAGTGACTGAATGTTACAAAGAAATGAGGGTGACTGAACGTTAAAGAAATTGAAACATTAAAAAGAAGGTTTGTGACATGGGGAAAAGAAAGGTAAAGAAATTAAATGAGAGAAATGCGTCTTTAAAAAAATGTAAGGCAGACAGCCAAAGAATTGAAAAAGCCAACTAAAAAAGAAAAAAATAATGAGAGAAATTGTGTGAATGAAAACAAAATGACTGAGCAATTTCTTTGACACCCAGGGATAAACACGTGTGTGTGTCATGATTTACTACTGGGGGATGAAGAAAGCGAGACGATAATGTCTTTGTATGTCATGTGTATGCGTTTGTATTCTTTCATAAAGCTGGATGTTTATATTTGGTGTAGAACGGAAAAAAATAAGATGGTCGAAGAAACTTAAGAAAAAAAAGGAAAAAAGAAAAAATGGCAGAGTGGATTATGACATAAGCACCATTTTTAGAAATGGCTTCATTCTACTGGCGGCTGAGTTGGGTTTTTTTAACCTCCCCACTCCCCCCCCCATCCTTTTTTTTTTGCCAACACACCCTCCCCATCTTGTAAGAATCGTGGATTTTCTGTGGTTTGTTGGACGGGGCTTTATGGGGCCGGTTGTACAGGTTCACAGTTGATGCTCAATAGATTGTATTGTGGGTGTGCTTGATCTCCATCAAGCTCTGCTTGGGTGGTCTATGAAGGTCTGTGGCGTTGTGTGGCTGAGTGGTCTATGAAGGTCTGTGGTGTTGTGTGGCTGAGTGGTCTATGAAGGTCTGTGGTGTTGTGATGCTTAGTGGTCAATGAAGGTCTGTGGTGTTGTGTGGCTGAGTGGTCTATGAAGGTCTGGTTTTGTGTGGCTGAGTGGTCTATGAAGGTCTGTGGCGTTGTGTGGTTGAGTGGTCTATGAAGGTATGTGGTGTTGTCAGCTGAGTGGTCTATGAAGGTCTGTGGTGTTGTGTGGCTGAGTGGTCTATGAAGGTCTGTGGTGTTGTTTGGCTGAGATGTCTATGAAGGTCTGTGGTGTTGTTTGGCTGAGATGTCTATGAAGGTCTGTGGTGTTGTGATGCCTAGTGTCAATGAAGGTCTGTGGTGTTGTGTGGTTGAGTGATTTATGAAGGTCTGTGGTGTTGTGTGGTTGAGTGATTTATGAAGGTCTGTGGTGTTGTGTGGCTGATAGGTCTATGAAGGTCTGTGGTGTTGTGTGGTTGAGTGGTCTATGAAGGTCTGTGGTGTTGTGTGGGTGAGTGAGTGGTCTATGAAGGTCCATGGTGTTGTGTGGCTGAGTGGTCTATGACGGTCTGTGGTGTTATGTGGCTGATAGGTCTATGAAGGTCTGTGGTGTTGTGTGGGTGAGTGGTCTCTGAAGGTCCATGGTGTTGTGTGGCTGAGTGGTATATGAAGGTCTGTGGTGTTTTGTGGCTGATAGGTCTATGAAGGTCTGTGGTGTTGTGTGGTTGAGTGGTCTATGAAGGTCCGTGGTGTTGAGTGGTCTATGAAGGTCTGTGGTTTTGTGTGGCTGAGTGGTCTATGAAGGTCTGTGGTGTTGTGTGGCTGAGTGGTATATGAAGGTATGTGGTGTTGTTGTGAGGTTGAGTGGACTATGAAGGTCTGTGGTGTTGTGTGGCTGATAGGTCTATGACGGTCTGTGGTGTTGTTTGGCTGAGTGGTCTATGAAGGTCTGTGGTGTTGTGTGGCTGAGTGGTCTATGAAGATCTGTGGGCTTGTGTGGCTGAGTGGTCTTTGAAGGTCTGTGGTGTTGTGTGGCTGAGTGGTCTATGAAGGTCTGTGGTGTTGTGTGGCTGAGTGTTCTATGAAGGTCGGGGGTGTTGTGTTGCTGAGTGGTCAATGAAGGTCTGTGGTGTTGTGTGGTTGAGTGGTCTATGAAGGTCTGTGGTGTTGTGTGGGTGAGTGAGTTGTCTATGAAGGTCCATGGTGTTGTGTGGCTGAGTGGTCTATGACGGTCTGTGGTGTTATGTGGCTGATAGGTCTATGAAGGTCTGTGGTGTTGTGTGGTTGAGTGGTCTATGAAGGTATGTGGTGTTTTGTGGCTGATAGGTCTATGAAGGTCTGTGGTGTTGTGTGGTTGAGTGGTCTGTAGAGGTCTGAGGTGTTGTGTGGTTGAGAGGTCTGTGGAAGTCTGTGATGTTAGTATGATTGAGTGGCTATGAAGGTCTGGGATATGGGGTTGAATAGTTTATGAAGGTATTTGGTGTGGTGTGTGGCTGAGTGTCTATGACAGTCTGTGATGTGGTTTTGGCGAGTGGTATATGAAGTGTGAATGGTCTATGAAGGACCGTGGTGTGGTGTAGGTGAGTGGTCAATTAAAGTCTGTGGTGTGATGTAGGGGATTGATCATTGCAGTCTGTTGTGTGGTGATAAGTGGTCAATTAAAGTATGGGGTGTGGTGTAGGTGAGTGGTCAATTAAAGTGTGTTGTGTGGTGGTGAGTCGCCAATTAAAGTCGGTGGTGTGGTGGTGAGTGGTCAATTAAAGTCAGGCAAGGGTGTGGTGTAGGTGAGTGGTCCATTTAAGTCTTTAGTGTGGTGTAGGTGAGTGGTCAATTTAAGTCTGTGATGTGATGCAGGTGAGTGGTCAATTAAAGTCTGTTGTGTGGTGGTGCAGTTTTGGTGTGGTTTTTGGTGTTTGTGAGTGGTTTATGACTGTCTGGATTTAATTAATGGGTCTATGGGCTTTGGTGGTGTGGGTGTGTGGTCTATAAATGTACTTTAAATGTATACACAGGTGACAGTTATTGCCAGATAAGTGAAGGTGTTGGTTCGAGTCTATAAAAACAAAACACCAGACAACAAAAACTGCAACTAACGCTGTGGTATAAAGATTAATGTGTATTAACTTAGAAGTTACCAGAGTTTATATGTCCACAGGAAATTAGCGGTACTCTGTACTGTCTGAAAACTAAGATTTCTTGTGTCTACAGGAAATTACTCTGTACTGTCTGAAAACGAAGACAGTCCATGTGAATGCCAGGGACAATGCTGGGTACACACCGCTACATGAAAGTTGTGTCCGAGGCTGTGTGGCCGTGGCCAGGCATCTGATCTACTACGGGGCTGACGTCAACTGTTGTTCCCAGGATGGTATAAGGTAAAACATCTCCCAGGTGTGAATCTTGGTTTATGCCTATCAGTTATTTATACCTGTCCTTTATTTATACCTGTCTGTTGTTTTTACCTGTCATTTGTTCTGTTTATACCTGTCAGTTGTTTTTGTTTATATCTGACAGGTTTATTTATACCTGTCAGTTGTTAGTACCTGTCAGTTTTTTTTACCTGTCAGTTGTTTTGTTTGTTACCTGACAATTGTTTTGATTATACCTGTCAGTTGTTTTTGTTTATACCTGACTGTTGTTTTGTTTGTACCTGATAGTTGTTTTGTTTATACCTGTCAGTTATTTTATACTTAAAATTGTTTTATAATTTAGTAATATAATGGAGATACTATGTGGGCCAGACTGTCCAAGCTGTCCCAGGACACAAATCTTTAAGCTGTAATTAAATACGCAAGTTCTTTTGTAATGTTGAAGTGTCTCAGACGACTCAAATATCACCGGCCTTGGGGGCCCACCATAATTTTGTGCCATCCCCCCCCCGAGAGGGAGTTAGTCTAAACCATTTTAATGACAATTTCTGGGTCAGTCAAGAAATGGAAGTGAGCGACACTTGTCACCCCTAAACATTTAAGAACCTTGCTATTAGATTTGGAAGTTTTATAACTTGTACATTTCTATAATGCCAATTTGAATGTGGATTGTGTTTCAGCCTAGAGCTTACATCATATTTTTGCCAGTCATGAGGTAATATTTAACTTGCCATATTTTTTGTGTGTAGACCAATCCATGATGCCATTGAGAACGACCACCTGGAAGTTGTCCGGCTGTTGCTTGTCCATGGGGCTGACCCTCTGATTGCCACTTATGCTGGTCGGACGCCTGTCCGTATTGCCAAATCGCAACTCATGCTACAAACCTTACAAGGTCAGCTACTTGCCATTGAAAACATGTGATTAGGGACTGTACTTTGGATAATGCGGCTTTCAGATTAAATCTAGATTTTTGGTTTAAATGAAGATTTCCATTTAAATATAGTTAATTGATGTCAATCTATTTATTCAGTTTAAATCTAGACGTTTGATTTAAATCTAAGTATTCTTCGGTTTAAATCTAGATGTTTTATTTAAATCTAGGTATTCAGTTTAAATCTAGATGTTTTATTTAAATCTAGGTATTCAGTTTAAATCTAGATGTTTAATTTAAATCTAGGTATTCAGTTTAAATCTAGATGTTTGATTTTAAATCTAGGTATTCGGTTTAAATCTAGATGTTTAATTTAAATCTAGGTATTCAGTTTAAATCTAGATGTTTAATTTAAATCTAGGTATTCAGTTTAAATCTAGATGTTTAATTTAAATCTAGGTATTCAGTTTAAATCTAGATGTTTGATTTAAATCTAGGTATTTAGTTTAATGTGTTTCAAGAATTAAAAATTCCTGATTTCCAAAATAAATTTCAATCCCCACTGATGGCATACGTGCTTTAGCAAAGTTGGATAACTGAAGTCAATAGCAGGTCATCCCTAAACAAGAGAACTAGATGTGACATGTCATTAAAAAATTATGTCAGTAGCAGGTTATCACCAAACAAGAAAAATAGTAGTGTCATAAGAAAGCACCTTTGGGTCCACTAATATAAGAAAGCACCTTTGGGTCCACTAATATAAGAAAGCACCTTTGGGTCCACTAATATAAGAAAGCACCTTTGGGGTCCACTAATATAAGAAAGCACCTTTGGGTCAACTAATATAAGAAAGCACCTTTGGGTCCACTAATATAAGAAAGCACCTTTGGGGTCCACTAATATAAGAAAGCACCTTTGGGTCCACTAATATAAGAAAGCACCTTTGGGTCAACTAATATAAGAAAGCACCTTGGGGTCCACTAATATAAGAAAGCACCTTTGGGTCCACTAATGTAAGAAAGCACATTTGGGTCTACTCCATTAATTTGGGAAACCACCTTTGGGTCCACCAAATTAAGAAGTCACCTTTGAGTCCAATGATATAAGAACCCACATTTGTCTCTAATAGTGTCCTGGGTATTGTACTGATATGGATCTCCCCAAGGAATCTAATAAAAATGGTGGCCTCCACAAGTGGCCCTGTTCCATGACCAAATCTTCAGGTTGTTCTCTCTCTTACACAGGTTACATCTGTGACTTAAATGGTTGGATGGAAGATGAGGACGAGGATGAGGATGACCGTGAACAGCCGGAAGAGATCCACCTGCCGTGGAGATTTAGCTCCTCCTTGTCTTGTTTACGTAAGACTAAGTCCACTTATTGAACTTTTTAATTGGTTTACATAAGACACAAAGTCCACTTAGTGAATTATTTAATTTGTTACGTAAGACTAAGTCCACTTAGTCAGTTTTAGGGCACTGTTCAGTAATTAGTGGTCATGTTTACTGGTCATTTAAATTTGTGGCATTCTATCAGACTGTGTTTGTGGTGCTGGGATTTTATCAGACTGCTGGTTGAACTGGGCTTGAAAACTCATATCTTGTATTTATTTTGTTGCTTTCAGTGAGTTCCCAGTTTGAGAGTTATAGCCCTTGTGTTGATCTACCTGTTGATCCACAAGATGACTCCACTGATGTATTCGATGATGGCCCTACATCAGCCATTAATGTGTTCAACCTGGCATTAGATGGAGAAGACAGGTAAAGTGAACCATTCACCGAACCAACTTGATACAGCATGCTGTTAATTATAACAACCTGGACTTTGATGACTTTATTGTCACCTATTGATTGTAATATTCCAACTAGGACTTACCTGGCCCAGTTTTTTTACACCGGGTCCGGGTATTTTGAGAAAATACTTTGTGGGTCGGTCCAATTGTCACCAAAAAAAAGAAAAGAGTTAATGTCTCATTTTCTATAATATGTGCTGGCCTTTCAATAATAGGCTACAGACAGCCCTACAATCTACCTTCCAACCTTTAAAAAATTATCCTACAGACAGTCTTATACCTTACCTGCCAAACTTTTTTTTGTTTATTCCACTCTGTACTATTAACATAAAACATGTTGACTAGAGGAGGGCCTGTTGTGAAAAGACAGCTGGACACACCAGAAGCAGAATATCTACCTTGTGGAGTAATATTTTATGCCTGTATGATGTCAGATTAGGGTAATTAGGGGAGAGACTGCACATCAGGTCAGCACAATATGAAATTATTAAAATGAGTAAGGTTAAACCTGAAAAAGGAGCACAACAAAACAATGAACATGTCGGCAGGAAGCCTTCGCCAGCGAACAAAACAACAGAAGAAAGAGAAGAAAATAAAAAAATTGCCCTTAGCTTAAAGGTAGTAAATAGCACTTAGCTTAGAAGTAGTATTCGAGAGGGCAGCAAATGAAATGTCAGATAACTATTTAAACTTTGAAATTTAAATTTTATTGATAAAAATTTACTCAATAGCCTGTAAAATCATGCAAACTCAGTAAATTTATGCAAACTCAGATAAATCTTGCAAACTCAGATAAATCTTGCAAACTCAGATAAATCTTGCAAACTCAGTAAAGTTATGCAAACTCAGATAAATCTTGCAAACTCAGATAAATCTTGCAAACTCAGTAGAGTTATGCAAACTCAGATAAATCTTGCAAACTCAGTAAAGTTATGCAAACTCAGATAAATCTTGCAAACTCAGATAAATCTTGCAAACTCAGTGAAGTTATGCAAACTCAGATAAATCTTGCAAACTCAGTAAAGTTATGCAAACTCAGATAAATCTTGCAAACTCGGTGAATTCATGGCAAATCTACTGACCACAGTTTGACAGCTGTCATCAGAATATTTTAGTCAAACATGAATGATGATGATGGCACAATTAAAGAGTTTAGGACACATAGGACTCCCAGTCTTCTCGGAACATATGAAAGTCATGAAGAAATTTGAACATTTGTTGATCATGTTGAAGATCTTTAAACATGTAAAAAAGGAAGACGATCAATCTCATTTCTTCTGCTCAAGAAATAACAGACAGAAGAGAGATAATCAGTTCTTTCCAATATGGGTTATCCATCTTCACATAACAATTACGTTTTGCTTGTTAAAAATTTTTTAAGGCTTTTTTTCTCTCTTGCCCCACCCTGAAAAGACGATATACTTCATAGCAGATCTTTAAACTGTTTTTTTTTTTTTTTTTTTTTTTTTTTGGGGCAGTTGTTTTTTTTTTTTCATTTTTCCCCTTTTTTTTTCAGTGATGTCTTCCACTCTTGAAAACCATCAACCCTTGAAATAACACTATTTATTGCTTGTGTCAGCTGGCCCTTGTAAGGTTTGGCTTGGCTAGCTTTGCAAAACTGATGTATTCTGTCATGTATTCTGTCATCATGTGACAATTAGAGATGTCAAGAAGCCAATTTAGTTTCACCATCTGATTGCTAGAGAACTTGCTAGTGTAAGATTTCCAGCCAGTGTCATGGCAGAGTGTCATTTGCAATGCCAGGACACAGTGCATAACCTGAATTAAAGACTGATAAGTTATCAGATGATTTTAATTTTTGTTAAACACATGTTCGAACAAAAGGAACAAAATAAATTGACAGTTACTTTCTCTGCATTTGTTGATAATATACTTTCTCTAAATTAATTGACAGAAACTTTCTCTAAATTAATTGACAGATACTTTCACTGCATTTATTGACAAATACTTTCTCTACATTAATTGAAAGATACTTTCTCTACATTAATTAACACATACTTTCTCTACATTAATTGAAAGATACTTTCTCTACATTAATTGACGGATACTTTCTCTGCATTTATTGACAGATACTTTCTTTTCATTTATTGACAGGTACTTTCTCTGCATTTATTGACAGATACTTTCTCTACATTTATTGACAGATACTTTCTCTACATTAATTGACAGATACTTTCTCTTCATTAATTGACGGATACTTTCTCTGCATTTATTGACAGATAATTTCTTTTCATTTATCGACATACTTTCTTTTCATTTATTGACAGATACTTTCTTTTCATTTATTGACAGATACTTTCTCTACATTAATTGGCAGATACTTTCTGTACATTAATTGACAGATACTTTCTCTACATTTATTGAAAGATACTTACTCTGGCTATGATTGGTGTTTGACAACCTGCAAAAAAAAAATATTACATATAATTGGTGTTTGACACCATACAAACCAAATGCATTACATATGATTGGTTGGATAACAACAAAAAATCATAAGATGAGTAGAGATTTGGATAAAGTTTTACTTGAAGGTTATTTACTTATTTTTTGTGTATTACATATGTTGATGTTGACCTTGACCTGTACAGAGCCAGGAAATCTTCACTCTTTAACTTCTGCATTCAACCCAACTTCTGCATTCAACCAAACTTAATGCTCCATAAATTGTTCAGTCTATCTTAAAATTAAGATTTTGAGATACTAGAAGCAATATTCTTTCAAAAAAATATCCAGTTATAAGTACCTGTACCATAAAGAAAATTGTAATGTTGGTGAATTTTTTCATTAACAACCCTTTTTGTACAAAATACAAGGGGGAACTACCTTGTCATACAAAATACAAGGAGAAACTACCTTGTCATACAAAATACGAAGGGGAACTACCTTGTCATACAAAATACAAGGGGGAAATACCTTGTCATACAAAATACAAAGGGGAACTACCTTTTCACACAAAATACAGGGTGGAACTGCCTTGTCATACAAAATACAAGGAGGAGTTACCTTGTCATACAAAATACAAAGGGGAACTACCTTGTCATACAAAATTTAAGGGTTAACTACCTTGTCATACAAAATATAAGGGGGAAAGCACGAAATGAGTTAAAAAATTCCATTTCAATTGAAGTTACTTGATCCATTTTTTTATTAGTTAATGTGCCAGAACATTCAGAAACATAAGTGTCTCGTAAGGATAGGTTTTTGGGATCCTATTTCTTTGTTTTTTTCTATCCCTTCAAAAACGAATTTGTCTGTAATAATATGAATAAGCTTAGGGGTAAAATTGTCTTATGTAGTCTTCACCACTAGAGCTTATGCAGTCATCACTGACCTGTGGAATATCTCTGAAATCATTGCTTTCATTTGAATCCATTTGAAATAATTCCAATAAAGAAAGTCTGTGTTGATTTTGTAATCCAGAAGGCGACCCTCTCCAGCATCAGACATAATGGCAGTTTAAAAAAAAAAATGGAGCTCATGTCACACCCGATTGATCCCAAAAAAGAAAAGACGTGATGAAAGCACAGTAACACACTGGTAGAAACGGAAATGGGAAGCAAACTCATGTATAGATAGATAGATTGATTTCCCCTTAACCAATGTACATTGAATCACATTTTTAATGATGCTTCAGGGTTGATTGTATTGACCTTGACCCCACAGAAAGGGGAAAAACATCTGGTCATCAGCAGTTGTGACAGTTAAAGGGTTTTATTTGAGTACATTTTTACAGTTTGGCTTTAAGTCTGGCATTAACAGATCCACCCTGTTTTGCATATTAAAGCATTGTTATACCCAAATCATATTTGTTTGATCTTTACTTACAGAACCCCCCAGCCCTTCTGTCTACTGGACGAGGTCCTGTTCCGTCTCGCTCTGCCCAAAGACCAGCTGACCGCTCTGTTCCTATGGAAACCAACATCCGTGACCTTATCCAGTGAGCGTGTTCGAGAAGTGGCCTCGTGCTGCTGCAGTAACGTCAGCATTCGTCTTCCACAGTCGGGGAAAGTCACTCTGCTGCCTCTGTCCACCCTCAAGGAGATTGAGGTGGCCTTGAAGAAACAGATGAAGTTAAAAGTAAAAAAAGAGCATGGTGACTCCATGGGTAAGGAGTCATCGAGAAATGACATTTTTTTATCACGGGTTCCAATACTGACACAGCTGGAGCAGACCGCAACATTTTTAGATGAAGGACGGGACACAAATCAGAAGGATTCTCAAAACTCTAAATGTCTAACCCCAACTGTTTCTTCTTCAGTCAAACAGAAATTAAAGTTAGGGTCATCTAGTACATTTCCTTTGTATCAGCCCTCTTCCATGTTTGTGCCGTCACTTCCCACGACCTCTGACCTGGGTTTACAGAAACCACAAAAACCTCAGTCGTTGCCTCAGTCGTGGTCATCGCTGATGAAGCAGCAGTCAAACAAAAAATCTTCAAGTCTGCATCACCACCACTTGCAACAGCCGCATCACCACCATGTTCAGCAGCCTGTCCTGCAGCACTTGGCTCAACCGCAGCCGAAGCTGCAGCACAGCTCTCTACCTCCTCGGGGGGAGGCCGGCTTGCCACTCAAAACCTCCGGTGTCGGCAAGGAGATGCGCACACAACCGAGTGGTGGCGGCACAGGGCGGAAATCAAAGAAAGATGAGAGCGAGAGCCCTTGGCTGAACGCGCCGATGTTCTCTGATGATAGCTCCAGCAGTCCCTTCCACACCAGCATAGACTGCTTTGATTCGGATAACTCGATGTGATCAGCGTTAATTGATGGGTCGTTTTTATGACTCAAGTGTTCAGTCATTCTGAAACAAAAATAAAAAGCTAGGTTTCCATCCAATCAAAATCTTCATTCATGTTTGTTGTTGGAAAAGATGGGAAGACAAACTGCCTCCACATTGTCATGTTTTCATCATGTTGTTTTAGATACTTTGATTATCATCAGATGTCCTAGAGGAGTCACGTTTTCTTACGAAATAAATTAAAAATGGCATTGTATGAGGGTGTTACATCTCTCTGTCTGTGAGACTCAACATTTTGTGGGTCATCAATATTATGGAAATGTTCATACACCTGGGTGAAATATGAGAACTGCTATGAGCATATGCCAGAAGTGGCATTCTCATTGTCAGAGGGCACTGTGGGATGTGCCGTAATCTGCTTGTGTTAGTTACCCCGTATGTGTAATATTCTTGTCATGAATAACATTGTTGTGCTAGTAAATAACAGTGCTATAAGCAGACGGCCAGATTTGGTGCTTGGGCATACAAGTGTGCTGTGTGTGTCTGCTGTGTGTGTGAGTGTTGAGGGGGTGTTCAAGTTGTGTCATTTAATTCATCAGATGCATTTTATGTTGTTTATTTTGCTTGCTGTCTTTGCATACATTCTCAGTGGAGACAGACACTCCTAGTCAATATAGTGTATAAATACATAGCAATGTATCTCAAATTGTGCTGTTGGTCCAAACCCATTAGCATTAAACCATACAGATCTAATTAGGTCAAAATGTTGTTCTGTTCCAGATGTTGTTTGCTTGTGTTTTAAAGAAATGTGCAACAAAAATAATTCACTGTAAATTATTTTGTTTTTAATTTTGAATTTTCTTTCAGCTTCTTCTGCATTTCTGAGGTCATTAAATGGATCTGTTTCCAGTGGAGTCAGGCCACATTATGATGGGCAAATGTAAGGCTAAAGTCCTCACAGCTGCACAACAAAACCTGATCCTAGAATGTGTAAGACTGATATGGGATCGAGTAAGTTGTCTAGCAAAAATGCAGGACATTTGTTTTCATCCCCCTTTGTGGGGGACCACTTCAGTTTCAGCCCCACCTAAAAGTCCCACCAAACCCTCAAACCCCCACCTAAAGTCCCCCCCACCCACCTCATGCCCCTCCCCATCTCACGCCCTCTCCCCCCACCTCACGGCCCCCACCACCATCCCCCCCTTTTCCTCCCCATACCAATGCCGTTTGAACAAATGTGTGCAGCACAGTATTCTTTGTTATACTAGGGTGATCTTTCTTATGTTATATTTCTTTTTATTGATCCTCTAGATGTGCTAGTTGTTGTTTCTGTCATTATTTTGTTGATTACTTGACATGTATCAACCATGAACATTTTTTTAGGCATGCTCTAGTTTTATAAAGATTTTAGCAGATTTTCTCGACATTTCCCATTGACTTGAGTTATCAGTGGCCTCATTTCTACTGGATGGGTGTGTGGCCAAAGTATCTGTCAGAAAATCGATGAAATATTTGGCCATCTGGTAATGGTCAGTCATGCTTTGGAACCTCATGTGATGGTCGGTCATGTTATCAGCCATCATCTGATGTTCCTGTAATGCTGCTTGTGTCCAATGTTTATGATCCACCCCCTAATCTTTACCCTTTGTTCATGACCTGGGATCCAGTGAGTCCGTTATACACCAAGCAAACCCCCTCCCCCACCCATCCCCCTATACAATTCCAGTTTCACCACTGAAAGGCATGTACAAAATATTGGACTGTACACCCGGTTCTATTGTAACAAAACAAAAAACACCAAAAGGTGGAGGTCTGGAAGCGATTCGGACCTGATATTGTTACATATGTTGTCCTCTAACACAAACCTGTGAGCCAGCTGAAATGCAAACTTTTGTCTTTATTGTAATGTTAATTTCTCGCTGAGTGTGATAAAAAAATTCCATAAAAATGCTGGTGTGCTGTGTGATTGTTGTGAGGTGTGATTGTTGTGCTGTGTGATTGTTGTGCTAAGCAATTGTCCTATTTATCAGCACTGTAGCTTTTTAGACAAATTTTTTTTATTTCGGTGCATTTTTGTGGTGCTTTTCTTACTCTGAAGTGATTTTGATAACAAATGCTGGACCGTAATTTTAGAATAAACCAATTAGTTTTAAAAGGAATAGTCTTTTAATGGCCAGTGTTGACATAATTCAAGCTGTTTGTCTCTAATACTGGGTTTGGAGCATGTTTGCAGTTATTGCATTAAAAAAACTTAAGCCATGTCTTAGCTGTAGTCTTCAAAATCTCAATTCAGATCCATTAATGGCAATGAAGTTTCCCCCTAATGGAGGGGACATAACCAGCACCACATTAGCAAGCAAGGCTCAGTAGGTCTTTTGGAGTATTGAGCGATTTCATTATTTACAATTACATTCAATAAGAGCTTACTTAAATTTTAGAAATCTTGTATATCTTGCAGCATTCAGGATACCAGTATCAATAGTTGTGAACAACTGTTACGGTCCATAGGTCGGACATGACCGGTATCAATAGTTGTGAACAACTGTTACAGTCCATAGGTCGGACATGACCGGTATCAATAGTTGTGAACAACTGTTACAGTCCATAGGTCGGACATGACCGGTATCAATAGTTGTGAACAACTGTTACAGTCCATAGGTCGGACATGACCGGTATCAATTGTTGTGAACAACTGTTACAGTCCATAGGTTGGACATGACCGGTATCAATAGTTGTGAACAACTGTTACAGTCCATAGGTTGGACATGACCGGTATCAATAGTTGTAAACAACTGTTACAGTCTATAGGTTGGACATGACCGGTATCAATAGTTGTGAACAACTGTTACAGTCCATAGGTCGGACATGAATGAATGAAAGCATAAAGCTTCAGTAATGTCTTCAGTGTGCTGATGTCTTGCTCTGCTCTCCCATGAGACATGTTTCTCTTAAAGATTTGTATGCTTCCTATAAGGTGCTTACTTAACTGAGAGGTAAACACAACTATGATTACAGTAAACTATGGATTTTTTTCGTTTCTCATATTTTTGTATAATCATGTGTGACATTTGTCAAATGTGTGTGATGTTTTTCACATATGTGTATAATCGTGTGTGCCATAAAGTACTGGATTATACAACAAGTGCACACATATGTAAATGTGTATGTATATATATATATATATATATATATATATATATATATATATATATATATATATATATATATATATATAAATATATGTGTATATATATGTGTGTGTGTATGAAAAAATGTGTGTATTTTTTTTATTTACTCTATAATATATATATATGTATATATATATATATATATATATATATATATATATATATATATATATATATATATATATATACATACATACATATATAAAAATAACTGTTTATATATGTAAGTGTGAATGTGAACAAGTATGTGAATTTCTTATATTCCCAGTATTACGTTTGAAAAAGAATAGGAAGTAATGGTGTACCGTACTCTAAAGATGTTTTTAATAATGTCATTCTAGAAGCTAGAATGTCAAATAATTACAGTAGATGAACCTGTTGTTTTTTTGTTACTATCAGTGAAAGAGGAGTCACAAATATTTTTAAAATGGCTTATTTTCCCTTCCATTATGGAGAGAAAATCTCCCATTCTTTAGAGACTTGTGAAATAAGGGTACAAGATGTTTGATTGATGGTAGTAACTGTTGACCCTATCCTTGCAATTTAGCTTTTCCTGTGAAACCAATGTCTTGCATGGACCAGAGTTCCCGAGCGGGCTTTGATAAAACAGTTTGATTCAAGTAGTTAGCCAAGTAGTCCTTTAGGGTTAGGGTTAGTGTCCTTACAGGCTTAGTGCATCGACCCTGTGTGCATATATCAAAATAATCCTTTAGACTTGTTGCAAATCTGCCCTAGAAATTTCTGCAGACGATTCAAATGGAAGAAATGACTTCCACAAGCAGGAGAAAAAAAAGCCTTCTTAATTTTGTCCAAGTTTTTGTGTGTTTTCTTTGCACAGCAATAGACCTGGGACCCACACACCCAGGGGCAAATTTCTTACACCAAAAACAAAAATGCTGACTGGAAAGCCACTGAGGTTATCATAAAACTATTTGGACTCATAAATCACGACTGGTCATGTCAAAGTTAGTAAAACTGTAACTGCTAATAAATCAAAATGTTAAGCGAACGTTTCAAGGATTACCGTATTTTCCGGCGTATAAGACAACTGCGCGTTTAAGACGACCCCCTACTTTTCCTTTTAAAATCTAGGATTTGGGCTGTACACCAGCTCATAAGACGAACCCCCGCGTATAAGACGACCCCCGACTTTTGAAAAGATTTTCATGGGTTAAAAAGTCGTCTTATATGCCGGAAAATACGGTATCTGTTGAGACCAGAATGGACTTTGAAATTTTTGAACCAAATAGCCAGGGACTCTGAGATAAAAATGAGGTAAAATTACTAAGTTGTGTGTGTGCCATGGTCAGTCCAAATGGAAGGATGTGGTGATGCAGGCCAGAGCCCTCCAGAGATTCTAGTGCCATAGATGATGATGTGGCTTGCCATGGGTCTTTAGCTTAAATGTATTTTTC